TGCCAGTCATTGTAGAAAGCCGATGGGTTGGTCCATTTCCTAACGTGAGAACTGAGAATCTTGTCCACATGGTTATGGGGTAGGTATTCCAGGATTCCTCCGTAGTTCAACCTGATTGTATGACCTGCGCATTCTGCCTTGCATTGCTGCTCGATTATAGCCCTCTAGAAGTCGAGAGATATGACCGAACTCTTATTGGTGGAATCGCATTCAACTGAGAATACATGGTCGTCGCACTCCAGTACAATCCATGTTGGAATAGCTGTGTAACAAGAGGTCCGAAGCGTGGCCCCTTCCTGGCAGCTATAGCACCCGGTCAAGTTATGGAGGAGGATGATGCAGTTCTGCGAAGTGACATATTCGACGCTGTCCTTTATGAATTTTGCTTCTATAGAAACAGTTAACTCCTCTCGTCTGGATAGAGCTACTATACTTCCCTGTCTGTGGATTAACTTCACAAAGGGCGAAGAAACAGGAAGTTTGTTGGCGGGATCTGCTCTCATTGTAGCGATAGGAGCTTGCGGACAGTTGCATCTAGCGGGACTTATTCCGGTGTCGCAGTCACATATGATGTTGTTTCTACAAAGATGAAAATTCTCAACGGCTTCTTCATAGGATGAGCATGTCGTTGCCATTTTCATTTGCTCAGGTATGAGTAACGCTTCTTCATGTGCAATCGCGAACCTGCTGGTCAGTAGGGGACAAGTTGGTTTTGCATAGGAGATGACGTTAAATGATACGTCCTGTCTTTTTTGACTGACATATGGCCTCATGATTAGTGTTGCCTGCTCTTCTCGGTAATGAGACAGTGAAATGTGAACGCGTAACCTTATAAGTGGTCTCCATTCCATACAGTTGACTACTTCATACACCATCTTGTTCACTGGTATGTGGGCAATTCTGTAGAAGGAGCATGCGGGAAATGGCAACAGACAGCCGCCACATATTAGACCTCCGCAGGACCGTTCACACCCGGAATACCCTGGGAACTTGGAAGCGTTCGCAAACTCAGCGATTTCACTGTCATAACGAATTTTCGAGCATACATCATTTCTACATGATCCCATTTGTGCACATCTGGTAGCGCTGAAGACTTCAATTCTCGTATCTCTCGTAAAGAACAGGGTGCGCTTAGAGCAATGCAACTCTGTCGGGAGTCGTTCTATATGGATGGTACCTAACGAGTTGTTGGCCTGCAAAACTTCGATGCAGACAGTGTTCGTTATGTCATTGAAAAGGAGCTCCCTACTGAAATGAAATGAGCAATTGTACTGTGACGTACAGATCATTTCAGCGTGATGTCGTGTGTACCCTAATTGACATGCACGTGCTTCATGACACGTCATTGCGGACAGTATGATGGCTATGCTCATCAAAGCGCGCCTGAACGGCATCGGATGGAATGTTTTCAACGCAATGCTGGCATCATTTTCATCGTGCCCTTCAGCGTGCACGTGGGTGCCGCCGTCGTGAGCTTTTCTCGCGTCGGGTGGCGAACCCAGTGCGTGTGATTACAGAGTTGCGTGTTTCTCCCACTGAGCTATGCTGCTTATGGTCATTCCTTCGCTTCCTTATAATCCAAACTAGCAACATGCCTGTGGAAATGATGCTATACGTCATGATGGCCATGGATATGAGCGCGCCGACTGGCCAACAATGAGGATTCCCTAAGAGGTTTTTCGACAACAGGGTCTTAGAGACATCACACACTTGCGGGAGCGCGCAAATGACGTTGAACGATTTCGGGGTTAACTTTTCCTCATAAGTCAGTGAGGCGTTTATTTTACCACTCTTGCTTGTGGGCGGGATTTCAAAAACCAGCTTATCGTCTGTAGGTGGGAAGACTCTGCATGTTCTTTGTATGCAAAGCGTAAAATTACTTTGTGGCGGAGTTACCCACAAGGAATCTTTCCTGCTGACATGTCTTCTACCACCTCGAGGTGAATGGCTCTGGTCGCAAGACATGTGTAATGGCAGACGTAACCCTTCTTGTTTTCCGTCATTTATATCGGACCCATGAAATCGCATCCGACCTTCTCGTCAGAATTGACCTAGTTAGGAATTGATGGCATTTCAAGGGAACTAAAAGGTAGTCCTTGATATTTTCTGCATATTACGCAATTCCTTACGAATTTTCTGAAAGCACCTGATGGTCGAGGTATCCAGAACCGTGATCTTGCTATACACAGAGTGTGATCTTTTCCACTATGCGCGTTCTTGTTGTGAATGTCAGTCAAAGCGAGCCGTGCTAATGCGGAGTCCTTGTCAACATATATTGGATTTCTCGTGTCATAGGGAAGAATGGAGTTCTGCAGACGTGACTGATTCCGTATGATCCCATCGCTATCACGGATAATTTTTTTCTGAGGAAATCTTTTCTGGATATCCTGCAGGGAGATGAGCTTATGGACGTCTGCAAACAACAGAATTTCGCTTTTTGTGAATTCTTCACTGGTGATGGTGAACGATGGACTAAATTCATTTAGGTGTTTCAACTGGATAGCTACTTCGTTCTTATTTCTGTTAACCTTATTCACCCATACGCGAATGGTCTTGCAAACTCTAGCCACCGTCCGTATAGCCTTATCTAGACGAGAAAACCGTGACAGATGGATAAGATAGCACTCCGTATTCGTACTTAATGGATGTGCTGATGCGACATATGAACTTTTCAGATCTGCAAGTGACTCTTCATCCGAGTCAGCAGTCTCGGCTTCGGAAATCGACTTCATCAGCAAGTGACGCGGTGTCTGTTCTTGACCCAGCCACTGAGGGCCGATTAGCCACGGTAGTTTATGTACGTTCTCCACATCAGCTCCGCGTGTACCCGCGTCCGCAGGATTCTTGTCAGTGGGAACATACCAGAATTTGACTGAGTGTCCATTGAGCTCGATCGATTTTCTTCACCTTCACTATGCGGCATTTTTGATTCTCCACGAATGCTGGAAGGTTACCCGAGCCTGTCACCCAGTATAGAGCTATCTCGCTGTCACTTAGAACATTGACGTCCTTTATCGGTTTTTTGCTAGACGTGGCAATAGTTTTGCCAAGACGTATCGCTATGAGCATTGCTAACATTTCAAGTCTTGGTATAGTTTGTCTTGTCTTCTTCGGCGTTAGCCTGGTCTTTCCGCTTATTAGTGGAGTCACCTTCAGGGTATGTTCGTTCCGAAAAAAGGCGCAAGCTGCCAGTGCTTGAGCACTGGCATCTGCGAAAATCCATAGGGTAAGTGGCCCTGTGCCATCGTCAATCGAGTAGCGAGGAATCGAAAGAGAAACATTATTGAGTTTCTCGCATGTTTTGATCCATAGTTCAGCGAGGTCCTTGGGCACTGGATCTTTCCATTCGATTTCAGTATCATATATTTCTCGCATTAGGTGCTTGAGGCGAATTGTTAGCGGGCCTGCCATTCCAAGTGGATCGTAAATGGAGTTTAGTTGGCTAACAATGTCTCGTTTTGTTAGGCTGGCTTTTTGTGGGAACGTTGAGTTGGAGACGAAACTCATCAGATTTCGTATCGTACGTCACTCCGAGCACTTTGATGGTACCGCTAGGAGCTCTGTCGTTTTGGGGAATTGCACTGTTCAACTCATCCGAGTTGGAGACGTACTCTCGTAGGTTCATTCCTATCTCTGCGAGCAGCGACTTACTTTCTGCATACTTTTTCAAACCTTCTGAAGGGCTTTCTGCGGAAAGGAGGATGTTATCCACATAGAGATTCTCGCCGATCTCTTTAGCTAGCGCGTTATTCTTGGATTGTAAGAAGGATAAAAGGCACATGTTGAGGATGCTGGGTGATGGTTTTGCTCCAAATGGGATCCTCTTGAAACGATACACGATGATATTGTCCTGGGTAGGCGCTTTACTAGGATCTTTCAGCCAAAGAAATCTGCAGAGATCTCTGTGATCCTCTCGCAGCCTTATTTGGGTGAAGGCCGCTTCTATGTCACACAATATGATGATCTTGCATGTTCTACTCGCCATCAGAATGTCATGGATTTTGTTCATGAGCGTTTCTCCTTTATGTGTTACATCGTTCAGAGACAATTGTCCTTTGCGTTTGGACGAGGCGTCAAAAACGATGCGCAACGGTCTCGCTTTCTGCGGTCTCCACACTCCCGAGTGGGGCATGTAAAACACCCCAACAGCATTGGGAGCGCTATCCTGCACTTGTTCTATGACGTTTTCGGCTTCGTACTGTTGAAGTATTTTGCAATACCACTCCTTCTGTGAGGAATTTTTTTCTAAGTGCAACTGTAGACTCATCAATCGCCTTAATGCTGTGCCGTAATTGTCTGCTAGGTCTTGAACTATGGTTTTGAGGGGGAACGGCGCAGTGATGTATCCATTTTCAAATGATACCTGCCTCGAATAGTTCTTGAAGTATTCAAGGAAGCTCTTATTCTCAATGCATTCATCGAGGGAAATCCCCAAGCCTTCGAGTTCGAAAAATTTGCTCAACATTTCTCGTTCTGTTTCTTCGACAGCTGACATACTGTAAGAAACAAGCGATGTTGTTGCGTCACCATCATATCTGTCGATTAATCCTCGCCCGTACACGGTAGGACCAAAAATGGTATTGGCTATTCGTAACCCAGATGGGGTCCTGAGTGTCTCCCCGCTGTCGAGAACAAAGCTGTGGTAGTGGTCCAGACCTACGAGGACATGAGGCACATGGTGCTCGCCTCTTATATTTGGGTTGCACACCAGAAGATTTCTTTTCTCAAGGAATTCTCGATCGATGGAACATAGTTTCACTGCAGGAAACCCATTCGTCAGAATAGGCTTGGTCTGAACGAGTATTTCTAAATCTCCACCATAGGCTGTGCCAATCTTCAAATGCACAACGCTGCTTTGGAATGTTTCAATTTGGCCTCCTATCCCAGACATAATGCATGTCTCTGTTTTCAGTTGCGGTAGGTTCAGTTTTTTTGCGAGGTCTTCCTGAATTACCGTTTTCTGGGCGCCAGTGTCAAAGAAAAATATGGCCTTCTCGAACTTGCGCGTACCATGATTCCAGATACATCCTTCCGCCGTCATTAGGGCTATCTGCACATTTTTCAGTTTAGCCGCATTCGTTTCTATATTCGTATGGTTCTCTGTCAGCCCTTCATTGCAATCGCCCTCACTAACGTTGTAACCCTCTGCAGTGGTCTCGTGATCCCTGGCGCAATCCCACTCATTGTCGCGTTCTATGTGGATGTTGATGTTGTTGCTCTTGCGCGGCTGTGAACCTCCATTGCGGAAGAAATTCGCTGACTCACCGTCTCTGTGCTTGCTTGCTACGCTGACGGTCTTGTTTCCCTGATTGAGGTGTTGTTCTTTGCTAGCCGCAAGTCCACGTTGCTTTAACACGGTGGCGCGTTCTTCTGCGTTTTCGCTGGTGAAGCACAGCTTGATATGATGCATTCTCCCGCATAGGCGGCAATTGTTTCGAGAGCACTGTGAACTCGAATGCTGCGGGGAGTAGCATTTCCAGCAGAGTTGCTTGCGGGCCACAATTTCTCTCTTTTTATTGATGGGCAATGTGGATTGACATTGCCAAGTAAGGTGACCACTCCTTTCACATATCGCGCAGATCTGTGCCGTAGAGTTTATGTCGCTTGCCGTGAAGTTTTTCTTGGGTTCATTAATGTGAAGTCGCGATTGAACGTATGCTTTAGCTGAGATTTCTTCATTGATAAACTCCATAACGGCGTCCACAGTGAGGTCATCATACTCTCTTACCTTCACGAGTAGTGGCTCGATGATGTCTTTAGGAAATTTGCTCAGAATCGCTTCTATCCATAGAGCGTCTTTAGCTGATCGCACATCCTGACCGGTCGAATACATCTGATTCAAAAGCATGCAAATAGTGTCATACACTTTCTCGCAGCTCTCAGCCGTTCTATTAGCCCTTTGTAATTCGTTAAGTTGCTGGACTATACGAGCTCTGTTAGCGGGTCTGTTCCCGTATTTTTTGTGAAGCGTTCTGATCATCCTCTCATAATTCTGTGGTAGCAATTGAATGCCCCGAATTGATCTGTCCGATTTTCCTTGTAAACTTTCTTTGAGCAGAAGCATCTTTTCAATCACGGTAAGTGCAGGGTTCTTGTGGACGAGGGTTTCGAAGATTGCCCAGAATTCTGGGAATTCTTCTTCATTTCCAGAAAAGACCGGTAAATTTACCCTAGGTGGTGACATTGTGCGTACCGTGGAAGCTAATTGAGTGCTCGCTTCAGTTTCGTCGTCGAACTGAGTGGCAAAGGGAGTGCCATCCGAACTGTTTCTGTTTTGCGAATTCGAGTAGAACTCATGTACGCTCTGCCCTGGAGGTACTTTTGTGAGTATTCCTAACTTGCGCTCAAGTCTTCTTTGATTGCTCACAGTCTCAGTCAGGCGCGTTCCCAACATAAACTGCAGTTCTACAGCTTCTCCTATCACATCGTTGAAATGAGTCTCTTGATCTATTTGCTCGATTTCTTGAAGCAGAGCTTTTTTCTCTTCTTTGTTTTTCGTATTCTCATATGTGTCTTTCATTTTATCGATCAATGCCTGAAGCGATGTTTTGGCAAAGTCAATCTGGGAAATGCTACCTTTGATCAGATCTATCGCTTGCATAGTCTCTTCGTACTGTGCCTCATCCGAATCATTCGAAAGTGGCTGCGCTTCTGTGTACATTCGAAAGTTCGCTACTAGGGCCTTCAGCGCCGCGGTGCTGTGCACTATTGGTCTTCCATAGAGAATCGACTGCATCTTTCTACTTTCTCTGTGGGTGCGCGACCTTCTCTCCTTCACCTTCGCAAACGTCGAACCTCGACGTGTCTCTGTTTTCGCCTGAACTAGTTTCTCACTTTCACCTCTGTGGGTGTTTAACCTCTACGGGTTTCTCGTCTTCACCTCAGCGGGTGTTAAACCTCTGCGGGTTCCTCGTCTTCACCTCAGCGGGTGTTGAACCTCTGCGGGTTCCTCGTCTTCACCTCAGCGGGTGTTGAACCTCTGTGGGTTTCTTTTTTCACCTCTGCGGGTGTTAAACCTCTGCGGGTTTTCTTGAACTTACCTTCTGTTGTTTTGGCCGATGCACCAAAACTGACGTGATCGTTCGGTGGTATCCTTTATTTCCCAATCGAATATATTGTTACACCGACACTCTTATATAGGCTTCTTGCGAACAGAAACATTACAAACGAATGTCGGGAAATGTTAATCGAACATATGTGAGACATACAAATGGAATGCGATCTACAATGCAAAATGGATGAAAGTCGTGGTATACCACGACAAAGCTGTGAAGGCAGCTCAAACCGTTACCGCCACCAAATCCGCGTTTGGAAAAGAAGTGTGGCTCCTTCCTCAAATCGCGCCAGTAGCTTGCCAGGCCATCGGGTCCATCCAAATTAGACTTCTTCTCATCGGAGAAATTATGCTACAGGAGCCCTTCAGTGTGTGATATTACATGCGGAATGCGCCTGTGCAAAGTAAGTCGTCGTAGTGGTAAGTCTAGCCTACGAGTATACGCACTCTTCAAACATGGCGTAGTCAAAAACTGCCTTTAAACGATGTGGGGACATGATATGAGCACACAATGACCAGTGCTTCTCAACACATCGGGTGCTACTTTCTTGCTCATCGCCACACCCTTTCTGAAATTGGATGCAGCATGGAGGATTTGGCGCTTCTGCTTTTCCACAACTTTCCTAGGGTCTCCCGCTTCTTTTTTCGTACCGTAGGAGTCGATGTTGTTGCAGAATTTGCTCACCAAGTTGACTGATCGTCCTAATTTCCTTGAAATGTTGCGGTGACTGAGTCCCATATCCTTGTAACCCGAGTTTGGCCTCTCTCAAACTATTGCAGGCGTGGCATGGCACTGAAGAACAAGTGTGGAAAGTAGAGCAGTGACAAATTGGTTTCACAACATCAGAAACAAATGTAAATCAGAAACACTACAGAAGAATCGAGTGTCTCCATACTTTTGGGATGCCATGCTTCTAGAAAAAAATCATAAAAAATCTGCAAAATTTCTTCTTCCCAATTTCATTTGTATATTTTTACCCTGGTGTGATCGTGCATTGTCAATAAAAACTTGGTGAAAAATCATTTGTTCATATCACTAAAGAAAAAGAAAAAAAGAAAAAAGAAAGAGACACTAAAGAAAAATAGGGTGTTCCTTTACTTTTTTTGTAGTCACACACTACGTGCTCCGTGATTTCCTCCAGCGTGCTTTCCATCTGTATAGTTGATTGCTCGAAAATTCGGTCGGTGATACTGACAATCATAGAAAGCGCTGTCATTGTCGCGCTAAGACTTCGTGTGCGTGTGTCGCCTTCGTGGTTTTTGAAAAATATTGCTCTCCTTGTAATTCATTTTGCGACTTAATGAAGAGTGGAGGCATCAGGGAATCAGCAGAATTCCACAAACAAGTTTCCGAATGATCAAATAAAATACCAGTCGAAAACGGCGAGCTTTTATGAGTGGATTATTAGGACTGTACGACCGAAGCCTTGCTGCGAATGCCATGGAATGTTCTGTTCGCACGCGCTAATGTATCCCACACTGATTGTAATGGCGACTAGTAAAGCGACAAGCACTACCAGTGTGTGCACGACAAACTGTTTGCATCTCTCTTGAAGAGGAAGTCTAGAAACTCAAAATAGTTCAGTTTTGCTGTCAGGTTTGATTTCGTACATTTTTCCCCTTACAAAAACCATGAGTGGACATCATCATGGATATCGTACCCTGAATTCAGTGCAGCATGTGAGACACAGTGTTTCCCAACGACCGCGCAAATTATTTTTGTCAAGACTGACTCTTTGGATTGGGTAAATAAGATTGCTGCGCGAATTGTCAGCATATCTTTGATTTCTTTCAATTCGGTTCTCCTGATACCGTTTTGTGTCTTATACTTTTCGCTATTCGAATTGCATCGTGAATCGGACGCCGGTATCAGTATTATTTACTGACATGTCTTGTCGCATGTAAACAACGCCACAAAATGTGAAAATACGCGCAAATGTAGGTGCATTCCATTTTGTCCGTCTCCAAATTTTTAGCCTCCAAATTTCCACTAGTAAGTTTTCACCCTCCCCGTTGACATTGATATGCGGTGGCAAAATAACATTCTTTTTTAAACAGCTTCTAAGAAGTTTCAAAAATTAGATGCTCAAAAAATAGATGCATGAGTGCTTTCTCCAAGAAAATCTGGAGCAGCGCTACTGAGATCACAACGATACCACTTACCATAAAAAGCCGAGTATGTCTGTGTATGTGTCCGACAAGATGTGGAACACTATGACACCGCAACGTCCAGAGAGTAAAGCAGGAGCAGTGCAGAGCGGTAGAGCAAGCGCTAGACGTTGGGAAAGCGGTGCAGTGGGAGAGGGTCGGATGCGGCATTGATTCGTTGTGGAGAGGGGTGGTTGGCGCCCAATTCGAAAGCGCAAAGAGTAGTGTGGAGTGCGCGATAGCATGCGGGGCCGCCTCGTGCGCACAACTACGTGACTACTTAAACTTTCCTCAACGTTCTCTTCCGGACAATTAGAGAATAACTCCCGGCTTAGCTCCAAATCCATGCAAGAAGGTGAGTGTTCTTGAAAGAGGTAGGGACACCGTAGTGGGTGAGCCTATTACATAGTGGTAAAAGCTATGCAAGACCAAGTAATGTTTGAATGAGTCAGATCACAATAATTATAAGGCTCAGTTTGAGCGAGAGTGCAGGCGCGAGCAGCAAATCGAGGCGGTTTGAAGGACTGAGTTCATGTTGTACATAGACCCGTATACAATAATATCATTGTGATCGCACTGACCAGAAACTGGGTTGGTGGGTTTGATATCATCGCCGTGCAAAAGTTGCACGAATTCTATTGCGCAGTGGGAGCTCGGTGGACAGACCCAATGCAGTGCGTTTATACCAATACTAATGAATAATTTTATAGTGATTCGATGTAAACGTAACGATTTTTTGTTCAATGTCTACCTCCGAGTTTTGACTTATAAGTTGCGCTGCGTCGTAGGCGTCACCAATTGGGGGGGGGGGGTGAGGGATCATCGGAAGCGCTCGCGCTGCATCACCGTTGCTGTGACTGGTCTTGCATAGCTTTTTTCTTGCATTTTTCTAGGAGGGCTTTTTTACAATCTCAACAAATTCTATTTCTGGAACCTGTATTGGCTCGGCTTGCACGGGTAGGATTTCACTTCGCTTTTCTTCAGTGCTGTTTGAAATATTCTCCACTTTTGGTTCTCTTTGCTACTTTTTGAATACAATTTTGCATTTGCTTCGACGTATGAGTTAGATGTTGCGTCCAGTTGCGTCTAAACTCGACTCGGTAAGCTCTCCAAAACACTTCGTTTATTTTTATACTTGTTGAAGTGAACTGAAAAGTGGACTTCTCATAGGAGGTTCATGGGATTATTCTCGGGCCTCATGAATTAGATAGGTTCCATGACCGTATACGTAGTTTTGTTCTGTTTTTCACTTTAATGAAGTTTTTTACATATAATTATATTTTGGCATTCAATTATGGGAAGCCATTACGTTGTGAATTCCTTTAGTGCATGTTTTGTGATAGTTTTTTTTGCATACGTTGGCTCACCAAGAACGCACTGAAGCGCCTAGAGTGAGATTGCATGGAAAATTTTTAATCTTAAAGAAGCTGGCGTGCAAGTCTGCGAACATCGCAGGCTCTCAGAAAATCATATGCTCTCGCAGTGAAATTCTACATTTGCCCAATGAGGCTGTATATCAATACCTTTTCAAAGGCCGACACCAGATTTTTGTGCTGTGAATGCCAGAGTTCACTGTGCTTTGGGGCACTCAAAACATGACCGAAGCAAAACTTTGCACTAGAGCGCACCAATCTGCATAGCAGTCGTCAAGCACTTCTATTTTGCCGACGTCGACGTCGCATTTGGGCGCGGTGTACGAGGAACACAAATCTATCATGGATAGTTGGTTCAGCACGATGAAATACTTGCCCTGAATCCTGAATAAAAGCTACCACAAGAAGGAACCGTATCTCCAACGTCAGAACCTAAAGGCAACCTTTGACGTTTGATACCCGCTTTCGACCTGATTCAGTCACCCTCTAAGCGTTCTAAACCAATCGCCGATCCGATAATTGAGTGAACAGCCCATCTGCCTACTCACTTGAATCAACAACTCTAAACTACTCCATCAGCCACGGCCCATGCCTAGGGACCACAAAATGATTCACTACTGGCCACGTAATCTTGTGTGGAAGTCTCGCAAGAGCACCCACATTGAGGAGCGGATACGATCTCGGCTTGCTTCGCCTCCCGATGCTGCTGATTGGCACTTTAGTACTGCACGTGTTTTACGATAAAGATCCGCGGTATAAAAGCTCCTTGGGACCGCCTCATTTTCATAGTATTCGGTGGTCACAGTGTGAGCTCATTCAGAGGACACCGTCTCGTGAAAGACACCAGGTATGAACCTTGAAATTTTTTTTTCGAAGATTCATGCCAAGTAAACCAGGGTCAAAGGTGAAGATCAACATAGCTCACTAGGTAAGTCAACAATTCTTTTTCAAGGTTCAAATCTCGTAGTTTTCCGTGACAGTTTCCGAAGCCCAACGAGAACATTTCTGAAGGAAACAATGACCCTCTGTAAGTTAAAAAGAGCATAAGCACGAAAAACTCACAAATGCTACCACTATTTTCTTTCTGTTTCAAGATACTCGTTATAGAGCAATTTATCTGAACCTTGAGATCTTTTTACGTGATGTTAAGTCACTTATTCG